TGGGGAGCGGGTAACCACACAGACAGGCAGCTTCACTGGCATATGGGGCGTGTTGTGGACACACAAACCTTGCTATATACAGCCCTGGCTACAAGAAATGGTTTGTGTGACACCTCCCCATACGTGGTGTCTTGTGTGTGGCTTGTGTTGCGTTAGACCATCATCATCACTGCGAGCTCTTCAGGGGAAAGCAAAACTATGAAGGCCGTCGTGTCTTATCTCCGAACGATGGCGGGAGTTACTTATTTTATTTCGTTCCACACCCAATATGGAAATGAGGCGATATTTTTGACGCATCCACGAAGCACGCGTCACCACCGCATGACAATTCGTCTCAAAGTTAACATGCTGGTCGAGACCCTGGAGTGTGACAGACTGCTTATAATAGAACCAGGAGTAGAACCAGGAGAAGGCGCCACAAGCAGCCGCGGTGCCCAGACGGGCCACCTGATGTGCATCGCTGCTGCTCATATCTCCAGGGTTTGAACGAGAGTCAGGAGTGCTGCTGTCCAGATCACCAGGGTGGAACGAGAGTCAGGAGTGCTGCTGCCCAGATCACCAGGGTTTGAACGAGAGTCACGAGTGCTGCTTCTCAGATCACCAGCTGCTGCGCTTAGCATATTGGCCTGCAGCGAAGACCAGGTTTCTCTGAGACATGGAGTTTAGTCTCCTATGTGTACTTTCATTACGACCCTCTGAGTGATTCACTCTGCAACCGACTTCAGCCCATTGGTCCGACCTGCGCTGCAGCATGGCCAATATCTTGAGGCGCGGCGGTGAGATTCGCCGACCGGTCTTCGGCCCACCATCATCCGCCTTGCGGCCACACCGTCATACACCCTGCGGCCACACTGTCATCCGCCCTGCGGCCACACCGTTATACACCCCACGGCCACACTGTCATCCGCCCTGCGGCCAGACCGTCATACACCCTGCGGCCATACCGTTAACACCCTACGGCCACACTGTCATCTGCCCTGCGGCCACACCGTTAACACCCTACGACCACACTGTCATCCGCCCTGCGGCCCACACCGTTAACACCCTACGGCCACACTGTCATCCGCCCTGCGGCCACACCGTTAACACCCTACGACCACACTGTCATCCGCCCTGCGGCCACACCGTTAACACCCTACGGCCACACTGTCATCCGCCCTGCGGCAACACCGTCATCCGCCCTGCGGCAACACTATCATATATACACTGCGGCAACACTATCATATACACTGCGGCAACACTATCTGCGGCACTGCGGCCACACTGTCATCCGCCCTGCGGCCACACCGTCATCCGCCCTGCAGCCACACCGCTCATCCGCCGCCCACTGGATGGAAACTCAACAAGCCATGAAGCTTATTTCACAGCTAAAATGGGAAATTAGGCGGTTGCTGATTGATGAACGGGCGCCAGGGCCACGTGACGGCGCGATCCTTTGTCACGATTGGCGCCAGTCATGATTGCGCGCGCGCTGCGGTCTCGTGTTGTGATTGGGCACCTTCACCAGGGAGATTCGCGTTGCGCCGTATCATCGCGTAGCTCGGTCAACTCCAGGCGGATGGAAATGCTTCTGGTCTCGGAGCACGCGGAGTTTGTTGGAGTCCGCACAGCTTTTTCCGGATCGGAAAAACTCCGTAGGGTGTTTTTCGGAGCACGGAAGACGTAACGGGAAACTGCTCCGGCCGGACCCGTACAGCGGTGCGAAGTTCAGACGGGTTTTTAAGGGCAGGCGCGCTGCCCCTGTGGTGGATATTAAACTTTTCTTAAGTACTTGGTTAGTTTAGCTACATCGGGCTCGCTACATCTGGCCAGGTTGACGGAATTGCTCAACAGCTCAGCATTTTGGTTAGAGCCAACAGCGTCAAAGTGCTACGGGACCCAGCCATCGCAGTGAAAAATATTTCCCTGCTCACTGGGGCGCTGACATGTGCAGCCTGCCCCGGACAAACGGGGTGTCGCGAGGATGCAGGATGAAGCAGGACAGAGGATAAGAGGGACGGATGTTGGAAAGGAAAAGCAGCTATGCCTTTCCAGTTGATGCCTCCTGTGTCTGAGCATGACAATTGACAGACTAGATTGATCTTTGGCTTGGATTTTCCCTATCCTGTTAAGCAAAACTGTGCTTTACAAAGTGAAAGCAAACTTTAAGGGTGTCCTGTTTCAGAAGATGATGAAAATCGCAAAGCCTCTTTTATGGCAACCAATTACTCCCAACCCCCCCCCCCCCCCCATTCCGGATTCGTTGCCGATTATGCTGCCATCTAACAACGACCTTTTCAATCACAGCGTGTGATCTCAGCATGCCGCAGAACCATTGACTGAGGCCGGCACCATTATGACGATCATCACCATGTATGCGTTACAAATCTATCTGCATCTGTGGATGGATTTTTGACTGCAGCCAACGGGCTGGATATTGCATGATAAAACGAAGGTGCGACAATAATGAAAACACAGCAACAACTTATCAAGACTACACGAAAGTAAACATTTTTCCTCTTTGTCGGATCGGTAAGTCTAAACATGAACACAGCGCGGCTCCAGGCGGCCGTAACGGCCGGCGTCAGGCGGCTCCACGACGGGGGTCGTGGAGTACATCAACTCCCTGCGCGGCGCTCTAATAGTCTTTCACACAGTCTTTCCGACTGTCTAAGCCGGAAGGCAGGCGGCCACAAAGCGGCGGCCACTGCCGGCCCCTTGACACGCTAACCAGTGCCGTGCTTACATAAGCACAGTTTGAAGTGTCGAGTACGGTGAATAGAGGCGTTGTTTGCTCTATAACGTCGTTTAACCAGCACCTCCTGGTATCCTGAAGGTTAATAAGTCGGCATAAGAACTGTGAACTTTTAATGCCGATCTTTGTCCGATCCGGTTCAGTCCGGTGGTGTCTGGTTTCGTCTGGTCTCGTCCGGGTTCATTCAGTGCTGTCCACCCCACCCGAATTTTGTCTAGTAAAAAAACGTGGGCGTTGAACCTTGATACGATTTTTTTCAGGCTTCAGGTTTCAAAAAGGGTTTCAAAAGCAGGTTTCAAAAGCAGGTTTCAAAAGCAGGTTTCAAAAAAGCAGGCTTCAGAAGCATGGAACAAATGGCTACTGTGAGCTGATTTCGCAGTCACGTGAGCTTGAATAGGTCAGTGCTGGCGGGTCATTTGTTGCAATGACAAGCCTCGTCTGCGGCGTACCTGCCGTGTGCCGTTTTAAAGGTATGACCTGTGACCGGTGGCAGCGGCCGCGATAAAGGTCAGATGACGTCAGAGGGCAGGACGGACCGTGCCGAGCATCGCGGCACGTTAAACTTTTACCACCAAATTATGTTATTGGCATGGACTTGCGTGACCGGATGGTGGGGGTCAGGGCTCACACAAGCACTGCTTAGCGTGAGATCTGACCGCAGAATTCCTCCATTCAAAAGGCTCGGGTTAACTATTTAAAAATAGTTTAGTACATTTCGTCAAGGATTTTCTTCAGGGAGGGGCCCGGAGCCCGGTAAGAGCGCATGATGCCGATTTTTACTTTCTGCCGGAAGCAGCCCATTGTGAAAAGCAAAACAAATTGAGCCTAAGTTGGGGGCCCCTTAGCTGCGTTCCCGCATATGTTGCGTGCATGTGGGTTTTGACAGTTAAATGTAGCATCACCAGTTTTTGCCGGCCGCTGTGCAATAGAGGTGTAGTTTTTGCTGACAGCAATCATGACAATGAACGTAATAAATGACGGCGTTCTTTCAGTCACGACGCTTTGCAAGCAGGGTAGCGGCCAGCTGGTGGCGAGTCAGTGTCTGATGCGTATTGTTCTATGAATTTGCTCTCGCTTCTCTTCATAATATTTTATTAATTTGCTATCGCTTTGCTATGTATTGTTTTATTAATTTCCTATGGCTTTGCTACGTGTTGTTCTATGAATTTGCTGCCGCCCACTAAATTTGCTAGATTTGCTTTAGCGGTGTCCGCAATTATCTGAAATTGTTCTGGGGAACGTGGGGAGGCACAGCAGGTTTCTGGAGCATGAAGATAGATGCCCGAGAAAGTGATTATTTTGGAGACGCCGGGTCAGGTATTCATGAATTCCTTGAAGACAGGATGCTCATTCACCAAACGTTAACAAACTGGTTGCCAGGCATGCCAAAAACTGCGACCCCGTCCTCAAGTTGTTCTCACAAGATTCCTTTGGTAAAGCTTAGAAAAATCAGCTTCGGATTAACGTTCGAGGTAACTCCTCTGCGGCCAACAATTTTTGATGGGACTTTGAAGGCGTCACTAATACATGGCGCCTCCACTTTTTGGGGGCAATCCCTTTCGGAACGTTTGAAGTGTGCGCCTAAATGAACTTGACATCCGGCTGTGTTCGCAGCCGTAATACGGCTTCTGAAATATCTACATGGTTGAAAGCTGCGTGATTTCACCTCCCCGTCTTAGCTTTGAAGCTGGATGGGCAGCCGTCTCCATGCCCCTTTCCGACTTTCTGCGCCCGTGACGTAACTCAACGTGCAAGCGTAGCCGGTGATAACGCCTACGTCACATGATACATGCCGATAGCTTGGGCGCGGGATGCTGCGAATGGAAACCAGTGTTACGCCCAGGTTCGGTGTCAGTTTATTCTCCCATCCGCCGGAGCTGAAGGCCATAACCAGTTAGCCGCCGTGCTAAGGCTGTGATGGCTTAAATAGCACGAAATCATCTCGCTTGAGAAGCACGAAATCATTGAAATGCACGATATAGTGCAGAAGATATACAAATTTGCTGCGCCCGCCAATCCGCTGCCGAATGCACCCTGGGGTGACGTCATGTCACCGACTGCCCTGCCACCTATGGACGGTCGTGCACGCGCCAACGAAGTGCGAGGCACCGCCAGTCCCGGAGAAAGCGCGGTGAGGTGAGGTGGTCGGGACGGCCGCCCTGGTGCTGTGGCCGAATTGTCTTGCGAGCAAGCTTGCACTGAGCCCGTGGAAGTGTTAACAACTCGCGAACTAATGGTGATCCTGGATGGCTCGTTGCGTTCCACGATGCTGACGAACGGCACCCACAGCTATATCCAGCCGGACCCGTTCTCACCAGTCCACTCGGCGGTGAGTTCACTGAACGCACTTATCATGTCGGTCTGAAATTAACGCGAGGGACCCCATCATTTTTGCTTTGAATACAACTTGGTGCTTAGATTTCTTGGCCATCGGAAGAGTGGCGTGCACTTTGGCAAGCTTAAAGATCTAGGCCGAGGCTGTGTGTGTAAGATCAGTCCACGATTGGTTTGGGGAAATAAATTTCGTCGTGTAACGCACGCCACACCATTGTTTCATTCGATACATGAACATTGATCGGAGCGTAACGGAATCCATCGTCCGAAAATAGCGTTACGCACGGGTGTCGCTTTCTAAAATCGGTTGGAGGGCTCAACCGAAGGATTGACTTAACCTACCTCCAAACCTTATTTGCCTCGGAATTCGGTCACTCGGTATGATGCCATCCATGTTGAAATAACTTATTTATAAGCTTACTTTCGTAGATTCAAAATGATTTCCTGCGGAAAGATAAAAGATAACTTATTGTTGAAATAACTTACTTCCAATTAATGTTAGCTGTCTTATTGTGAAAGACATAGCGAATGAGGGTAATTCACAAAAAAAACACCTTCATAAATCTTACTAAGAGATTGCTAATGAAAGCTTCTGTGGGTGATCGCGTTGCATAGCCACCATAGCCACGATTATGCGACAAATATACTTGCCACTGTTGAGGAACACGTGAGCTATTTTTTATCTGGGCCACCCTGTACTTTGAAAGCTGCTGCACATTGCGAACAATTGTTCTTTATTCCAACCCAGGCGTTACCATTAAAAAGAACTTGTCAAGCATTTGCAAGCTGACTCAACGTGGGAACGAGTTGGCACGTCAAAAACATCCGGTGTGTACAGAATACGATTTGTTACAGCATTAACCTGATACTAATCATGTGTTTTGGTACCCACTACCTAGCATACGGTAGTCAAGGTAACTATTGTATCCATATTTGACCCATTTTTCGCTCTTTGCTCATATGCATTGAGAGGTCTCAGAGGAGCGTTGGGGGCGGGTGCTCAAGTCAGCCTGGAGGCTTTGCCTTCCCCCACCCCAAAAGTACAGTTTGTGATACCCTTACGTCAAGCTAATTATACTATCTTGATAAACAATGTCAACTTCGTGTTTGTCATTGTCCAGTAAGATGAGCATAATGATTGTCATCAATATGCGCAAAAGGAAATAAATCCCAGTGGAAAATTCATAAAATAATTCATTCATAATCAGCGGAGAATTTATAACGATTCAACTTGCCGGCGTTTTGCGTCGGCATCGATCAACGAATTATGCTAGAAACGACTTATGATAAATGACGCATGATCAACACCCATCAGTCTAAACGCAACGAAATTTCCCGCCCAATTTCATTTTTATTTCTATGCCAGGGGAGAAACGGGTATTTTTACGAATTTTGATAACAATAGTTACACACAAATTGCTATTCCGTTTTATTGACTGTGCTGAAATGAATGTCCTGACACTTTGCATACAGCCATGAATTGCTATCCAATGACACATTCCCTCGTTTTACCTGGCCCTTCAAAGGCGAATCTAAAATTGCAGGTTCTCCAAGACTTCAAGACTTTCTGGAATCGCTTCTGAACGTTTGTGAGCGAGGTGCGTACATTTGGGCTGCTGAGTCTCATTATTTTTACACATCTCGCGAAAATGGATTTTTTATCCGGACAGTATCCAGACACAAGGAGACTATGAGCCCTTTCTCGAGGTCATGCCGGTGACATTTTGCCAAGTGCAACAAATGACGTTCGTTTCCAGCACGAAGTGTATTTCGGAGGTATTCTTGTCTCTTATTATTGTCTATATGACTCTAAATCACAGTTTTTATCCAGTTATTTCAATTTTTATTTATATTCCTGGTACTGGTGACTAACATGACCAGATTTGACCGTTTGACAGCTATGGCATTTAGACTTGAATAGCACACTTTCTTATCACTTAAGGAGGCCTTCCTAACTCGGTTCTCCATATGCCTCTGCTCTTGTTTCGATAAAGGCGTGTTGCCGAAATATCAACCCATCTATATCTCCATTCTACTGGGTTTTCTCCGAGAAATAAGGCTATTACTACTGTCTTATCTATGTGAACAACGTTCCTCACAAATGATCTAAACAACTTACATAATTAACTTCCTTATTAAAGCTTCATTTACCCGCCCAACGCAACCATTACCTTTCCGGCTTTGACCTGACATAACAGGAATTACTGGCCACGTATGTTCATGTCCACTAGTGTCTGATAACGTTTTTAAATGTATTCAATGCCATCTGTGATATTTCCGTATCATGCTTAGCTGCTGAGATAGCAGAAGGAGTCTACAAAGTACCAATTTATCAATTTGACCGGCTTTGTCTTTGAAAGGCTACATTCACCAGCATTCAAACACACCTGTCTGATCCAGTTTGCCAAGAGGTTTCCAATTCCGTTTGCCTCGTGACTTAAGCTTGCCAAGTTTCGAGAAATTTGAGAACGTCTGAGACTCTCCCCTTGTGGGATGGAGATTCAAAACCGCCGTAGGGCGAGGGTTCATAACTTGATTACGTATGTCTTACAAGTTAAGCCCGTGTATCACATCTTGCAAGGAATGTTTAGTGAAGGACAGAATACATCCAATCTTCACGGCAAGCCTGATCAGTCCACGAGTCCAACCGTAACTACACTGTCGTAGCTTCACGACCAGCGCGTTATCGCACCGCACCAACCCCCTGTTGAGGACGGCACTGAACTCCGCTGGGAGCGCCGCGATATGCCCGCCCCGATCTGGTCTGGTGCACGCCCTCTGGTCCTGCCCCCCCTCCGATCTGGTCCTCGTCCGTCCCCTTCCCCCTCCCCTCGTGGAGCCTGGTCCTCACACCGGCTTGATCTGGTCCTCGGTTTGCCCCACCCCCCAGAGCCTGGTCCTCACACTGGCTTGATCTGGTCCTCGGTCTAACCTGGTCCCCGCACTGGCCAACAGTATGGTCAGATCGACCCGCGCGATACCCGCAGACCGCAGTCGACGAGGCACTTTTGCTCCAGGTTCACCCACCTAACCCTACTCACACTTAACCCGGACCTGACGGGCGCACCTGGCACATACACCCCTCGCACTCACCAGTCCATACTGGCTGACTGACCCGCCGACATTCCTCAGTCCGCGCTACCTGACCCGCCACATTCCCCAGTCTGCACTACCTGACCCGCCTACCTGGCCCGCCTACCTGACCCGCCCGCATTCCCCAGCCCGCACTACCTAACCTGCCTACCTGACCCACCCACATTCCTCAGTCTGCACTACCTGACCCGCCCACATTCTTCAGTTCGCACTACCTGATCCGCTCACATTCCTCAGTCCGCACTACCTGACCCGCCTACCTGACCCGCCCACATTTCCCAGTCCGCACTACCTGACCCGCCTACCTCACCCACCCACATTCCTCAGTCCGCGTTGCCTGATCCGCCCACATTCTTCAGTCCGCACTACCTGACCCGCCTACCTGGCCTGCCCGCATTCCCCAGTCCGCACTACCTGACCTGCCTACCTGACCCACCCACGTTCCTCAGTCTGCAATACCTCACCTGCCCACATTCCTCAATCTGCACTACCTGATCCGGCCACATTCCTCAGTTCGCACTACCTGATCGGCCCACATTTCTCAGTCCGCACTACCTGACCTGCCTACCTGACCCACCCACATTCCTCAGTCCGCAATACCTCACCCGCCCACATTCCTCAATTTGCACTACCTGATCCCGCCACATTCCTCAGTTCGCACTACCTGATCCGCCCACATTCCTCAGTCCGCACTACCTGATCCGCCCACATTCCTCAGTTCGCACTACCTGACCCGCTCACATTCCCCAGTCCGCACTACCTGACCCGCCCACCTGACTCGCCCACATTCCCCAGTCAGCGTTGTCTGATCCGCCCCGCACTGAGATGGCCTTGACTGCGCGGTGTCGGGTGCGGCCCGCCTGCGCCTGCGCGGCCCCTGTGAGTACGTGCTCGCGCTGTCGGCCCGCACGGAACGCCAGCAACACCAGGGGTGGTGCCCACTTCTGTGTGTTACAACCTGAACGACACGGTTTGAGCGTGCTACAAGCGGCAGAACCCGACAAGAACGTCTTGCAACAGAGCTTGGCTATACAACAGGGCTTTCTGACTAGAATGTCTTGCAACAGAGCTTAGCTATACAACAGGGCTTTCTGGCTAGAATGTCTTGCAACAGGGCTTAGCTATACAACAGGGCTTTCGGCTAGAATGTCCCACAGGAAAGTCTTGCTTGAATGACAAGCAGCCGGGTCTCGTTAGGATGTCCACGGCCGAGTCAGAATGTCCGTGGATTGGTAAAACCTGACGTCATATCTGGCTCTAAAATTTGGCGGAGTTCTGGAAGATGCTACGGATGATGAAGATAATTTTGGCACGATACCTCGCAGAGCCATCGAAAATGCAGAGACGCAGCCGCTCCGGTGTCCGTCATCCAAAGATCTCCGTACCTGTGACGTCACCTCCGCGAGGACCACGACCCGACGACTATGTCGTCTGTGGTTTGGTGCCCCCTGCCCCCCCCCCCCCCCCACCCACTCTGGCATTTCTGGCTCCCCATCACGTAATTGGACTTCACAGTCCTGATGACGTCACCATCACGTGATCTGACTTCACAGTCCTGAAGACGTCACCATCACGTGATCTGACTTCACAGTCCTGATGACGTCACCATCACGTGATCTGACTTCACAGTCCTGATGACGTCATCATCACATGAACCTTTACTCCACCATCCTGGCATCTGTGACCCGTGCCGTTCCGGGGATCCACAATGCCACAGCTCCTGTACATTGTTGACTCCGTTGCCCTGGACTCCGTAACGCCACCGTCCCTTGAATCCGAAACAACGCGGTCTGTTGGACGCGTGCTTCACCGTCGATCTGATGTGCAGTCCACCTCCCCTCCGACCTGGAGCGTACCTTCCCCGGAGCCAGCCGCTCCGCCGTCGCCCAGATCCGCAGCCGCTCCCGTGTGTCCACGACCGGGTCGCCGTTCGGACCGGGGTTTCCACCGTGTCGTTGCTCTGTGTTTGCGCTGCCCCCGCCGCGCACGGCTGCACCGCCGGGGGAAGTGGGAGCCCGGCTGCGGGCCAGCACTGTGAGGGGCCAGCTGGCCCGGCTGCAGGCCAGCAGGCCAGCTGGCCAGCAGGCCAGCAGGCCAGCAGGCCAGCACTGCGGCCCTGTCAGACCGGCTGCCGGCCGACCCGCAGTGCACCATTAGTGTCCCAATAACACCATCTCCCATTCGCATGAACGACCCGCAAATCAATCGTCCGCCCGTCGGAGGGTCTTTTTTGCCGCGCTGACACGCCCTCGTGCCTGTGTGGACCATCGTGTCGGTGTCAGGTGTCCTCCAGAGTGTTTTGTCGTGAAGTTGGTCCGAGTGTTGCTGACCTTCCGCGACATTCCTCACTTTTGGAGGCGACCTTGATATCATGCATGCTGTGTGTGTCTACGATGGTGCGTGTGCGTACGCCATGTGTTCCTGGCCCATCGGGATGTTCACTGTTGTGCTTCTGTTGCGTGGAGATAAAATTGTGGGGAACGTTTCGGCCCTTATTCGGCTCTGCGGACGGCTCCCATTCTCGTGCCGGCTTTGTCTCGTCCTCCGGTGGACTCGCAGTCCGGTGGTGGAGGTGACGAGCCTGACCGCTTCGGCTCTGTTCCGCCAGATGGACTCCAAGTCCTCGCCGCTGGCCATGCTACAGAAGACATGCTCGCAGATCGGCGCCGACACCATCGCCGCCAAGCCGCCGCCGCCGCCGCCGCCGCCCGACAAGAAGAAGGAGGAGACGCGGAAGGAATCGCCGGTCGCCGAGCGGCCCGCCTTCAAACCGTACGAGCTGGAGAGCCGGGCCGAGGAGCAGGCGTCGGACCCCGAGCCGGCGACGGACCGCGACCGCAGGTCGCCGCCCCGGTCTCCCGACAGCCGGAAGACGCCCAAGAGCGAGGCCAGCTCGACCACCAGCCCTGTCAGTCGCCCCGGGGCCGAGGTGCTGGCCGGCTGCAGCGGCGCCAGGGAGCTGGCCGCGCTGGGCTCGCTGCGGCCGGCCGCGCCGCCGCCGCCGCTGCCGCTGCCGCTGCCGCTGCCGCCCTACCTGCCAGGCGCCGAGCTGGTGACGGCGGCGCTGCGGCCGACGCCTCCGGGCCTGCCGGGGCTGTACCCGACCGCCGCCTACCTGGGCCTGCAGCACCACCGGCCCGGTGACAAGTGCCAGAGCCCGTACTGTCCGTGCGCCTTCAGCACGCCGCACGGCTACGGCGCGCCCTGCCCCGCCGGCTGCGCCCCGTGCGAGCACGCCAAGGCTCTGGGCGGCGCGCTCGGCTCGGCGCAGCTTCACTCGCCGTACCTGGCGCTGGGCTCGCCTTTCTACCCGCCTCTGGCGGCGGCCGGCGCCGGCGTGGCGCCTGTCGTCTGCAGCTGGATGGCCGACGGCCGCTACTGTGGCAAGCGGTTCGCCAGCACCGAGGAGCTGATGCAGCACCTGCGCTCGCACACGAGCCTGTCGCCGGCCGAGGCGGCGCCGTCGCCGCTTCCGCGCGGCGCGCTGCTGGCAGGTCCACCGGTCGCCTTTCGCGCCGGCGCCGCTGTCGCCGCTATCGGCCGCGCGCTACCATCCGTACTCGAAGCCGGCCTCGCTGGCGCTGGCGGCGGCCGCGCAGCCCGGCTCTCTGGCGGGGGCTTATTACGCGCCTTACTCGGCCCTGTACGCCCGGCCGCCCGCGCTGCCCTGAGGCGGGCCGCACAGCCGCCGGACAACTGTGGGACAGCAGACGGTCAGCAGTTAGACAGCGCCGGGCAGACGCCAGGCGACGGCCGGTCAGCTATCTGACAATAGCGAGACAGCAACCGGTCTGCCGTCTGACAATAGCCGGATTACAACTGGGCAACAGTCAGGACAACAGTCGAACAACAGTCCGACGGCAGCCGGACAACTGCCAGACAACAGTCGGACGGCAGCCGGACAACCGCCAAACAGCCAACGCGCGAACTCCAGATGGTTGCTGGACGACTGCCAGACATCCCCTGAGGCGGTCTATCAGCAGCAGCGACTGCCACGACCGCACAGCCATACGGAGACCCATGCAGCGTGGCCGGGGCCGTGGTCCACGTCCGCTCTCCCAGCGTTGTGCTCACTGCTCGGCGGTGCTCCCCAGTGAGCGGAGTTAGACGCGGTGTCCCGTCCAGTGAGATTGGTCCGTGGGTGTTGGCCAAGCGCGCCCGCGAGTCCCGCGCGGTCGCGTCTGGGGTCGGCCCCCTCTCTTCTGGTGGTCCGCAGTGGCTGTGCCCCAGGAACGAGGCGCGCGACCACCGCTGTCCTTCTGGTGGCCACGCCCGACGCCAGGGCCCCGGAGCCGCGAAACAAGAAGTCTGTGATGAAGCTCGCGCAAACGCACGACTTGGCCGCGCGTTCATTGTGATATATCGATGTGGGTGTGAGTAAAATGTGTCGATGTTGCAGTGAGATTCGTCCATTGCCGCACCGCAAGGCACGGGCTGCGACAAAACCTCAGCTCAGCAGCACGTGCGTGCTTTCTCGACGCGCCTCCCGCTGTCGTCACGGACGTCCGTTGCGTTTGCAAGGCAACGGCGGCACGCTCAGTACCGCCACCCCACGGTCGATGCGGCTGTCGCGAACAGCGGTTCAGTGTTTCCCTCCGTTGTAAATATGAGTCCACAAGCATGAGCCAATACATGTGGCCACACCTATGCAGAACTGTACCCGCTGATCTACGGGCTCTAGAGCGGGTGTAATCAACTGCCGAGCATAGCTCCGTCCACCTGGCAGGCTTGGCTGATTGCCAGAGATTTTCGTCCCAAGACACGGGCAGCGTTTTGCGCTAGGTTGGGTGATTAAAGGGGGTGTTTCACATTCAAATTATATTGAAATAACCATCAGATATGATGAAACACGCTCACTTATGACTGCTGTGATACTTTTAAGTAGAAAAGACCGCTCTAGACAATGTATTTTTTCTGTTTGGTAAATGTACTCCTAGACATGTCAGTGTTTGATTACGTCATCCTACGTTGCACAACATTCATTGAGAGCCAATGCGCGGCCGTTATTCTGTAAATGGTGCTCACGAACGCCAGATATGAATGACTCGAACCGTTATATGTTTCTTGGCCTTGATCATCGCATGGCCTATTAGATCGCACAATTTCAGTGACGCTTTTGTGAGATCATGAATGCCAAGGTGACCTTCAAATGCTCTCCCAAAAAACTCTCCTACAACTTTGCGGCCTTAACACTCAGGAACCAAAAGGCTTTGGGTTTTAAAGGGGCATGTCCGTGAGCTGCATCGCAAGACCTTCAATATGACTTTTTCAGTTCAAAATCCCGTGCAATTGTGGAACGCTCCTTTTAACGGAGATTTTCGCCCCCAAGGCAACGAATGTCATTTATCTCGAATCTGATTGTCAGCTACTTCGCTCTGCGAGACCAACGCATCTTGTTACCCGACTGCGGTCATAAAAGCTAAAACAGCACGACTTTATCGTTTCATGAACACATATAAAATGCCCATACGCCCCGTGGTGGACTTACTTCTCCATATCAGCACAAGGCATCCCCTACTAGTGTTTGATTTAACACGCGCCCGGATGGCTGGTTCAATGTGGCATGCTCAGGCTGGAGGTCAATCTGACCCCTGAAATCGTATAAACCGAGAGAGCTAGAGACGCCAAATTTACAGGGTAGGTAGGTCCTATATGTGATTTCACTTTGTCAACTTATGAAGTCCATAGGTCCATGATCCTTTGGTGACATAAGGCCAAACAAGGTCAAACTCCTAGATCGGCGTCCGAAGTGCCCTCAGACCCCCTTCATGCAACCAACTTAAACTTGCATACTTTTTCTAAGCAAAATGTCACTGGTGCTCATATAAGGTCATTGACCTACTTCATCTCCGGAAGGTCAGTGACCAAAACTTTCAAAATTGTGTTAATATTTGAAGATTAATAAACGACAAGGGTTAACCTAGACGACATGTGCCTGAAAATAAAAGGTCGGTTGAGGTCATCTTAGGTCAGTGACCTCCTCTCACCTTTATTAAGTTCACATAAGGCGTATGTTGACGATCAAATGACAAAAACACTGGAAATCAGCGTCAAAAAGCACTCTTTAAAGCAACTTGTCCACAGCAAGTGGTTTCGGTTTATCGTTGGTCTCACAGCCATACCTAACCCAAGGTTAATGAATACAGGAATGAATCTATAGCATGAAACCGTCGGCCGATTCACTTAAAAACCCTACCTGCCTTGTACTACATTTTTGGCGCCATCCAAGTGTGATGTGAGGAGGGCCTATCAACATTTCAAGGCAGCTCCAGCATGTAAAAGAACTGCCACGCCCAAAAACATGTCAGTTTGCAAGGTCGCATCACGGTGCGGGGTTTCGATCCAAGGCCTGCAGCACCCGCAAAATACCACAAATTCTTTGAAAGAGAGGGGGGGGGCCGTGGGAGCCGTTCAGAGGATGGCACATCCCTTACCAGTAGGAGCATCAGTCATAGGAGTATTCACATCCGTCACAGTAAACCAGCTCCAGTGACGTAGCAGAAGCATTTGTGCTGAGCGATCTTGTCGGCAACAGACTTTGTGCTGAGCGATGTTCGTCCGCAGCGGTATTTGTGCCTGAGCGATCTTTGTCCCGTACCCGTTGCTGAATCAGTTGAAAATTCGTGACGAAGACGGTGCAACATCCTGCATGATATACGCAGGCATGGTGTTGCAGAGAACGAACATCGTCCTTCACCAAGGCTCCAGAAGATAGCATTGGCTAATGGTCAACACTCTTCGACGTCACCCGATCTAATGGTCAGCACTATCCGACGACGCCACCCCATCTAATGGTCAGCACCACCCGACGACTTCACCCCATCTAATGGTCAGCACTGTCCGACGACGCCGCCCGATTAATGGTCGGCACTACCCGACAACTTCACCCCATCTAATGGTCAGCACTGTCCGACGACGCCACCCCATCTAATGGTCAACACTACCCGACGACGCCACCCCATCTAATGGTCAGCATACCGCGACGACGCCCGATCTAATGGTCAGCACTACCCGACGACGCCGCCCGATCTAATGGTCAGCATATCCGACGACGCCACCCGATCTAATGGTCAGCACTACCCGACGACGCCGCCCGATCTAATGGTCAGCACTACCCGACGACGCCCGCCCGATCTAATGGTCAGCACTACCCGACGACGCCACCGATCTAATGGTCAGCACTATCCGACGACGCCACCCGATCTAATGGTCAGCACTACCCGACGACGCCACCCGATCTAATGGTCAGCACTACCCGACGCCGCCGCCCGATCTAATGGTCAGCACTACCCGACGACGCCACCCGATCTAATGGTCAGCACATCCGACGACGCCACCCGATCTAATGGTCAGCACTACCCGACGACGCCACCCGATCTAATGGTCAGCACTACCCGACGACGCCACCCGATCTAATGGTCAGCACTACCCGACGACGCCACCCGATCTAATGGTCAGCACTACCCGACGACGCCGCCCGATCTAATGGTCAGCACTACCCGACGACGCCACCCGATCTAATGGTCAGCACTACCCGACGACGCCACCCGATCTAATGGTCAGCACTACCCGACGACGCCACCCGATCTAATGGTCAGCACTACCCGACGACGCCACCCATCTAATGGTCAGCACTACCCGACGACGCCACCCGATCTAATGGTCAGCACTATCCGACGACGCCACCCGATCTAATGGTCAGCACTACCCGACGACGCCACCCGATCTAATGGTCAGCACTACCCGACGACGCCACCCGATCTAATGGTCAGCACTACCCGACGACGCCACCCGATCTCGTGAAGGCGGGAGCATCCCATGACGAGCAGCTGCCATCCAGCAGGACAGCTGAGTTCAGTGACAGACAGCTGCCATCGAACAGGACAGATGAGTTCAGTGACAGACAGCTGTCATCGAACAGGGCGGCTCAGTATGAGCTATATTCGTTATTGACATCACGACAGAAGACTATTCGTCTGTAAGCAATGCAGCTATATTGCCTTTAATAGTTGAATGAAAAAAGATAGCTTGAGTTATCGGAGAGCCCAATGTATGGCGATGCACATTATTACTGACTTTATTTTTGGTGGCTGGTGATCGCTATGCCGTATTTAGGTACTGGTGCGTAGCTCTTCCCAGACCAGGGGAGCAGTAGATGTTGTCCCATCAGTCAAAGGGGGCTTCCGGCCAAAACGTCCGTAGCTCGTCTTGCTCAAGAGCTGCCCACCGGTGCTGCCATTTTTAAGCTCACAGGCCTGAAAAATGCGACCTTAAAGACCTACGAGGTTTTTAGCGGGTATTGCTGCCTACATCGTGGGTATTGGCGGATATTTCACATGTAAAAATCTCCCAACTGTATTTCATTAACCATGAATTTAAACCTAGCTAGCAAGCAACTGCTGGTAACAAATGCTGGCAGGAAAAAAGCTATTTTTTGCTCGAAAGCGATGAAATAGGAAAGCTACATTTTATTCTAAGTTTTCCAGTTACGCGTTGCATGCTATGTCAAGTGCGTACAATCCATGAAATGCTGGAGATTTAAGGCTGGACTACCATAGCTTCATAACTGTTCAGCCTACAGCAGAGGTACAAAAATTGCACGATGCATTCTGAGGGGATGAAATCTCAACGCAAGAACGAGACCATCCTTAAAATAAGTGAGTAGTGGTGG